TGTTGGCTGACCAAAGATGTCTTGAAATTTCATTCCTCCTCGATTTTTTTCTCATGATTGTGCTTTTCCCATCACATCCACTTAAGACCATTTCTAGAGTCTTGGTTTGATACCCACCTAGAAAGAATTTATCATCTTTTCAAGTTTGTCGACACTTATTCAAAGTCTTAAAAACTATAAGTGGAGGTTTTATTTATTTTTAATTTATTTTTCTTAAATAAGTAGAAATAAATGCATATAGATAGATAGATATAAAATAAAATAATTAATTATTCTATTTCATACTAAGTGTATTGTGTATATATTATAAATTTACACACACATATATATATATATATATATATATATATATATATATATGCAATGGAAAAGAATTTCTAAATTTCATAATTAGAGTTAATACATAATTGGAGAAAAACATCATTCATGGGGAATGATATAATTTCATAACACATACTCTAATATCACATGTAAGTTTTAGTCTTCTAAGACTACCAATTATAGAAAATTAAAAGAACCTTTGAAATCAATAATTCTCATATCAAAGAAAGTGTGTAGTTTTCTCCATAGCGAACTTTGAACTTTATAGCACTTTGATCTTCTCGAAAGGAGAGAAATCGAAATTTTACTCCCTTTTACTCTTCATTTTACTCTATATCTTTTATGATGACTACACTTTGAGAGATCATACTTTTCTACTAGGGGAGGATCTTATTTTACATTAGTAGATGTTTGTAATTCCTTAAAACCGTCACTTTCATCAAATAACAATTATTTCCATAAATTACTTTATTTGACCCATTTATTATTTAATCCTTAATTAAAATGGTGAAGCTTAACTATCTTATTACTTCTTCTGTAAAAAAAAAAGTATCTTATTAGTTCTTGTTATTGTGTCTTTCTATTTTTGTTCCAACAATTTTTTTAAAAATATATTTATTATTATTATTATTATAAAAAATATTATGATCTTTATTATTTTGCTTAATCATCATAACCTTTTTTATTTTAATCTTTATCATATCTAATTCATTTTGGATTAGTGTCTGTGAAGAGGAAAAAATTTGATAAGAACAAAATGAAAATTATTTCACATACTGCATGAGGAATAAATGTGAAAAGATAATAATAGTACGATATCTAATGTTTTAAAATTTGCATGAGGAGTAAATGTGAAAAGATAATAATAGTATGATATTTAATGTTTTAAAATTTGGACATAGATCACTAGTTAAAACATATATATAACCATTGAATTAAAAATTTTAATACATAAATAAAATTTGATGTAAAATATAAATTATTAAGTAAAATAAGTCTATTAAAATTTACCCTAAAAATAAATGGATTCTTCCCTTTTTTGAAATATCAATGGCTAAATTCAAACGATAAAGTAGTTTAATAAACTTATTACAACTAATTAAGAGGTTTCAAGTTTGATTCTCCCTGACTTTAATTTTATTACATTTTGCCTCTTATCCTCCGAATTCAATATTCTTCTAACACTAGGTCGGGTCACTCCAAACAACTCACAAGTGATGACTGATCTTGTCCTGTATCTTGCATTAAATATTTATTTCTCCATAATTGGCACTGTTCAAACAAAAAATTAACACTTTTTTTCTCTCCCTATACAATGAAGTTGTCGAAAAGTTGAGAACCATTGCTCATGGGCTCGAATGACGCGTTAAAATTGAAAACATGAGAATCTTAAACTACTGAACTATGATATAAAATAGTCTTTTTTGCTGGTCTGAATAAAATAAATTAAAATTAGAAAAACAAATTATTTAAAAAATAATCTACAAAAATGAATGATTTTTGCAACATTGGAAACCATACAAATAAAACGTCACTGGCTCTAGTCGCTTTTTGTTGTAAATGAAAATTCAAAGAAAACATTGAAAAACCTAAGACCAACTCCAATGGGAGTTGGTTGGCCCATCAAGCAACTCCAATCTCAGTTTCTTATCATTGGAAGAATGTGACGTGGCAGCAGGAGTTTCTTGCAGAAGAGAGAGGGTTGCTTAGTGAAGCAACCGTTCCTTACCTTTGTGAACGAAAGGAGGCGCGGTGGTGAGGCGGTAGTTAGATGGCGGAGGCGCGGGGTTGGACATTGGAGGCGTGCAGTTGGATGCTCTACCGCGGGACCTAATCAGAGCGAAACGGGTTGAAGCCGACCGTCGTCGACGGTAGTGGACGTTTTGTCGCGGGACCTGGCTTGCTACGACGCGAACTGCTTCCTGAGCTATACGAGCCTCGGCCTGGACCTGGTGCGCGCGGCGGAGGCAGCGGCGGTAGAAGGGTTTAGGCAGTCATGGAGGAACGGAGAATGCGGCGGCGCGTCGAAGGAGGAGTTGAAGAAAAAGAAGCGTGAAGAAAAAGGAAAAAGCACTCTCAAAAGAAAAAGAGACGTTGGGTTAAAGAAATAAAAAATAAAAAATAAAAATAAATAAATAAAATAAAAAATAAATAGAAAAATAAAAATGATTAGAAAAAGATTTTAAAAGTTGAATTTCTTAAAGTTTCTTATTATTTGAGTAAATTTCTGTTTGAGTTGCTTAATGCTGACATGGCACACTAGGAATCATTTTTTTCATTTTTCAATGCATGAAACAACTCAAATGAATTATTTTCATTGAAGATGTTTTAAGTTGTGCTTGTGAAAAAACTAGGTTTAACCTAACTTACTTTTGATCAAATGAGACAAAGAGTTATTTCTTTATGCATTGAAATGTGTAAAAGTTTATTGAATAGTTTACTGAATGTTTTTTAAATGAGAAACCGAACACACACCTAGAGGTTTTGTTTTACTTTTTGAGTCGAAAAACTTACAACACGAGATGCTGGGACTCAAACTTTTTTTTTGTGTATTTTAAAAGTAACACACCTAGACAAGCTTTTTTGTGTGTCCTGAAAAAGCAAAATCTTCCACTGCACCTGTTCCCACCATTTATACTTTTCTTCTCACTCATTGTAAAATTGTAGGACATTTTTTTTTTCTCACTTAGCTATGGGAACCAAATACCTAATTTTGCTTTTCAGGACAAACAAAATACCTTTTGCCTTAGGTGTTTTGTGTTATTTTGAAAATACACAAAAATGTCTGGATTCCAAGCATTTTGTGTTGTAAGCTTTTCAACGCAAATTGTTTGGGGGTCTTAACGTTTACTGTGTACTACTTAAAGAATAATACAAAGTGTCTGGATCTTCCAATGTTTTCTTTGTTCTTTTTTTTTACAACAAAAAGTGTTTGGGCCAGTAAGGTTTTATTTGTATAGTTGTCAACGTGATAAAAATTATTTATTTTAGTAAATTATTTTTTAAATAATTTATTTATTGTAATTTTAGATTTTTTTATTTAAACTGGCCAAAAATACCTATAATATATGCTTCCAAGTATGTGTTACAATTACTCATGTATAAGGCACATATAAACTTAATAAATATCCTTTTCAACTTGCCCAAGGATCTGTATTGTCCTTAGATAAACCATAAATCATACATCAACATTGATGTTCATTGTATAAATTTAAGGTTTAAAATTTAAGTTTACCGACATCATATTATTTTTATAACATGATAAAAACAAATAATTTATATCTATACTATTAATAGAATGATGACCTCATTTGTTGTATATATTTTTAATTTTTTGAACAATTTTATCTATATCTCAAATTATACTTTTCAAACTACTCTTTCTCTCTTCACAATTTTTTAAAACCTACATTTACTATTATACCTACTAAAAAAGATTTATAATTAACTACACAATGACACAATACTTTTATTTATATTTTTTAGAAACTACACAATAGCACATAGTACTCTTTTTATACTAGTTATTAATAAAGATAATATATCTTTTTGGTGCACACATTTTAATTTCTAAAACATGTATTTTGTCACTTACTTTTTTTATTTAATTTTTATTTTTTTCTTCAACTTCATAAATTTATTTTTTAAATATCTCATACCCTAATCTTAAGTTCAAACATCGGTTCAGGTGTTATAATTATGAATTATAAAAAAAAAAAAACATCTCATACCTTTTACATAACTACTCAAAATCTTCCATACTTAATTATTCACACATATTTAACATCAATTATTTTTATTATTTTTTCTTTTTTTCTTTTTACATAATATACACGAAAATAAATAAAACAAATACATCCAGGAGAGACTAATGTATTTCATAGTTATTAGAATGACTTAAATTCAAGAAAAAATGGCATCATTTGACGAAGTTGTGATCTTTAAAATGGGAATCCATACTTAAGAAGTGGCCAGCAAGTGAAGTGGGGTTGGTGGCTAAGTGCAAGTCTTGGATGGGTATTGGGATTGGTGACTGAACAAGAGTGTGAAAGTGGGTGAAGTCTCTGATGGGGAAGTTTAAGAAGTGGTCCATCCGTGCTGCATGTTTAGGATTTAGGATGACCGTAGATATAATATTAAAATATTGAACGGTTGAGATTATCACGTAATGATTAAGATTTAAGAATTGCAGAGTAGTCCTTGTAATTTTGATATTTGTCCGTGTTTTGTAGGTTTATGAAGGGTTATGGTGCATTGTGTTGTTTAGGGTTTTCCATGATGAGTTGATTTGCGATCCGGTTACTGTGGTGTTTTGGTTGTATGATTTCTGATTAGCAGGTACGATTGGTGGCGGCGGGCTTTGGCGGAGAGCATCTTCGAAGTGGGCGTCCGGCGGCCCGTCCGTTGTGGTTGGTGGTAGTCCGCAACCGGTGCGAAGATTTGTTAGGTTTAACAGGTGAGCAATCAATTTTGTTTATTTTTGAAACCTAAAGTGTCGCGTACAAAAGGAAGCCGATTTGGAGGTTAACGTTTTTTGTTTATTTTGCATTTGATTTTATATGTATGTGCAATTTTGTTGATACATTTGTTGCTGGTGTGTACAGTTAATAGAGATTAACTGCTGCGGAAGTCCTTTGAGGTTGATAGATTGATTTATTGTTATTAAACGTGAGAGTAGAATGGAGTTTGAGAATTCAAGTATAGAGGTAAGTGACATTTGTGTCATGTTTAGGGTTCTGTGGTTTAATATTGCGTTGTGTCATGTTTGTGATAACTGTGATGATGAAGGTTGATATTCTTTTTAAGTTTGTGATGGTCTTAAAACTTTTTAGGTGGCAGTAGATAATTGTGAAAGCATAAATGAAGGAGTAGATAATTTTGAAGGCATAAATGAAGGAGTAGATAATTTTGAAGGCATAAATGAAGGAGTATTTAATTTTCAAGGAATAAACGAAGGAGAAGATCATATAAATGAGAATGAGGAAGATGAGAATTTTGTTATTGATTTACAGGAAATTTGTGAAGAAGTGGAAAATGTTGTTAATGAAGGAAGATTTGAGGTTTTTGACAGTGAAAACGGGGTGATAGTTTATAGTTTGGATGATATTTTTAATTTAGATCTGCATTTAAGTCCCCATGAGCTTAAGAATGTTCAATTTGTAAGTGTTGAGATGGCTTACTTATTTTATTACTGGTTTGCAAGAGTTAATGGATTTGCCGCAAGAAAGAGCAAGATTTTGAGAAATATTAAGGGGGAAAAATTACAACAAACATTTGTTTGTTTCAAGGAAGGATTTAGAGATAAGCGTGGTTTGAATCTACAGAATCGAAAGCGAAAGCAAAAACCGGAGACAAGGTGCGGATGTGAAGCAAAACTAAGAGTGCATATTGATAGCACATGTGGACTATGGTACATTACATATTTTGTGGATGAGCACAACCATTGTTTTTTGGAAGATAAGTATTGTAGAATGTTAGCTTCTCATAGAGATATGAGTGAGTTAGATATAATGCAGTTGAATAAAATGAGAAAAGTTGGCATTAGTACTCCTCAAATTTATGGGTCACTTGCAGATGACCCTGGAGGGTATGAGAGACTTTCTTTTTGTAAAAAGGACATATACAATCAAATTGGAAGGCAAAGAAGGTTGCAAGGTTTGGATTCTAAATGTGCCTTGGAATTTTTGAATGGTTTAAAACGCAATGATCCTTTAATGTATGTTGGTCACAGTGTTGATGACGAAAACAGATTGTAACATTTGTTCTGGTGTGATAGCATGATGCAAATGGAGTATGAAGTTTTTGGTGATGTGTTAGCATTTGATGCAACATATGGGAAAAATAAGTATTTATGTCCTGTAGTTGTATTTTCTGGTGTTAATCATCACAATCATACGATAGTATTTGGGAGTGCTATTGTTTCAAATGAAACTGAAGAAACATATATTTGGGTACTTGGGCAATTTGTAGAAGCCATGAAAGGAAAGTCACCAATGTCTATTATCACTGATGGTGATGTTGCAATGAAAAATGCGATAAGAAAGGTATTTCCTAATTCACACCATAGATTGTGTGCATGGCACTTATTAAGGAATGCGACAACTAACATTAAGAAGCCAGCATTTACAAAGGATTTAAGAAAATGCATGTTGGGTGAGTATGAAATTGGTGAATTTCGAAAGAAGTGGTCTGAAATGTTGAACAAGTTTGAGTTGCATGATCATCCTTGGGTTATAGACTTATTTGAAAAGAGGAAGATGTGGTGTACAACTTATATTAGAGGGGCTTTCTTTGGTGGTTTTAGGGCAACTTCTCGGTGTGAAGGATTACATTCTGAGTTGAAAAAATATATTCATCCGAAGATTAATCTGACAGTGTTTGTTCAACAATTTAATCGTCTTGTGAGTTATATGCGTTATAGGGAAGTTGAAGCTGACTTTGCATCAATTCATGGTGATCCTATTCTAGAAACAGATTTTCATAACCTTGAGCTATCGGGGGCAAAGTGTTATACGAAAGAAATATTCAAATTATTTCGTGATCAGCTTCATAGTTCATCTTTGATGAGGGTGATTGGTTGCAAGCAGACATTTGGTTGTTGTATATACATAGTGAGAAAATATGAAATCAGTCACAAACAATGGCATGTGTCATATGAATCAACACCGTGTGATTTGAAGTGTTCGTGCTTAAGAATGGAATCAGTCGGCATTCCATGTGATCATATACTTGCAGTGTTGGTTCATCTGAATTTATCAGAGTTACCAAAATGTTTGGTGTTAAAAAGGTGGACAAAGGTCGCAAAGGATGAAGTGAAGGGCAATGTTAGTAGACATAGGTGGGAGTCTGAGAAAGATGCTAGATACTTGTCATTAATGGAGTATTTTAAAGAGCTCAGTACTTTGGCATGTGAAACATACGATGATTATGTTGATAAAAGGGAAAAAGTTGTAAATGAATTAGTTGAAATAAGAGCTAAAAAATGTGATGAATCCGAAGAAGGCAATGCATTGGGTGATGAATTAAGTGTAGTTATAAGAAATCCTGCCATTGCTAGAAGTAAAGGAAGGTCTGTTGTTGAAGGTACATGGCGCAAAGGTAGGAAATCAAAAAAGAGTATTAAGTGTAGTTTGTGTAAACAAATAGGTCATAACATGAGAACATGTGGAAGACAACAAAATTTGGATGATATGGAACAAAACACAAGTGGAATGAGTTTTGAATTTGAAGAAAGTTATGTAGGTTACCAAAATGAAGAGGTAACGAATATAATTTATATTAAAATTATATATTTGTTGGTTAAACAGAGTTAGATGTGATGTGTGTAATGTTGTCATTGTAGGAAGATGAATACATTGAAGATTTGTTTGAAAAATGTGATGAATTTCATAATGGGGTTGCTGAGATGTCTGTTTCACAGTCAGAATCAATATATAGTTATGAAGTGTCGTTATCTCCAGCATTCAGTGATGCAGGTAATGTTTATGAATTAGTAACTCAAGTGTGTTATTGTAGGTGTATGAGAAGTAGCAAGTTAATTTTTATTGTATTACTATGATGTTATATTATTTTACTTGTGTATGTGTAATATTGCAAGTAATCGATTGCTGATAATTGTTATTAAATTTTATTTGCAGGTTTTTTAAACGATTGATGGCGGATGCAGTAGAATGGAAATGCATGAATTGACATAGTTTGGATTGAAAATTTAGATGAATGTGACTTTTGTTGTTATTTATGGAGGAGTTTTATTTTATATTGTATTTAATTGTAGTTGGAAAAAATTATGCAGTAATGAAATTATGATAGATGAATATTACTATAATTTAAAAATACAAATATTTTAATTTGAAACCAAAATATTTTTAATATTTTTAAAAATTGGGTTGCGATTGAGGTTGGTGTTGTCGTATGTTGTTTGCACGTGGAAAGTATAATCCCAAAATTGGGGTTTATTGCTAAAATTATTGGGTGAATCGCTTCAATGGATATTACGATTTTCGCAGATGGAAGAGGAAGAAAAAATGATATTCTAAAACCAAAATTATTAACTTTCGATCGTGCGTGCATTTGGTAGTTGGAATTTTAAATGCTTACGTGTATCTATGCAAAGAAAATGAAGGGTGACATGGGTTTTTGTTTCTTTTGTTTAACGTTCCCATAGGTTACCGGAAACGTCGTATATATATGTATATATTTTATTTTATTGTAATTAGTTGTTTTATTTTTTTTTAATTGATTGTTTTTAATAATTTATGTTTATGAAATTTGTTATGTGTTTAAATTTTCTGTATATATTTTAAATTTCATCTTAATGTACCATGTATTATAAATAAATAATTTAATATTAATAATTTGTTAATAAGTTAAAATATTTTGAGTCATATGCATACTAGTATACTACAAGTTGCATCCCTTGTGTTTCGAAACACTGCACTCCCTGCGTCCGATGTCTGGTGGAGTACAAATGTTTATTTAATTTATGCAGCCGTTGATATACATTTAATTTTTGTTTTATATAGTTAAAAAAATTATTTAAACAAATAATTTTTTTTTGAAATTCAAACCTTAACCACTTGGAAAAATAAGTACGTAAATAAATATTTTTTTATATAATATAGTTAAAAATAATTTTTTTTGAAATTTCTTTAAATAAAAAGTTATAAATTACTTTGTAAAAAGTTATATATAATTTTAATCAAATACAAATTATTATTTAAACATAATTTATATCATATGTTGTTAGTTTATATTAAATACAAAACATATAATATAATATTGTTATTTTATTTGTTAACATGGTTTGCACCAGCATTGAATAACATTATAATTTATGATGCTCTTATCATATCTTACTCTCAAATCATATCCTATTATATATCCCGACTACCAAATACACTCTCAACAATTATCCCTCACCTTATGACATTTCTTACAATTTTTTTTTTAAATTACTAAAATTATTGAAGTTGAACCATAAATTAATCTTTAGAGACACCAATAAGGAATGTTAATTCAACAAAGTCTGAAGGATGTCCAATTTGCTTATAAACTGAAACAAAGAATCCAATAGTAAGGGAGAAAACCACTGGTTCGTAAGTATAATTTACATAATCTAGATTGAAAAATAATGTGAAGCACATCATTGTATTTATCCCTTAAAATTATGCAAGCAAAGCATGGAATGTCCAAATGTAGCACCCTGTTATATTCGTATGATGAAAATACCTACCTCAACGTGTCATTCAAATGACGATGATATAAAAGCCTAAACATATATAAAAGCCTAAACATATTTTAAAAAACATCAGCAACCAATTATCATATAAATTAAAAAATAATACTCTAAAAAAAATCAACTTGGTTTGAATCTTAAGTCGTATGCCTGTATTGTATCGTTGGCCTTTAATAAGCTGCCCCCATTCCTTCCCAACATAAAACTCCCTTTTGTTTCGCTGTGTTGATGTTTTTTTAATGTTAGCTGCAACCATCTGTCCATCTTGGTTGATTAAGACACAAAAATTGTATTTGTCTATGCCCCAAACATCAACGTATTTGACCGGAAAATACTGGAAATAACAATGAAAGTGAATTATTAACATCATTATGTATATTCATTTTAGAAATAAAATATTTTGTTTATTTAAAAACAATGATGTAATTCCATACCAAAGGTTGTCTTCCAGTCGCCGCAGATTTTGTTATAGTGTGAAACCAAGGAACAGGATGTCTTGGCATATGATCTGTTGGAAAAGGTAGTTGTAAAAGTTGTTCTTCGGGTGGTGGTGAATCAGCCTCTGTTAAATCTATAATCTCATTCTTAGGGTGGAGAAATGGGACATTAACCTTGCTGAGAAAATTAAAAGTGCAGATTAATAAATAAATAAAAAAATAATGAATAAATTAAAGTTAATGAAATATAGTTTGCAATTATATGTACCTTTTAGAAGTCTGGCCTCTTTCGTTTTTAATTTTAGGATAGGATATTTCCTCTTCAGCAGCAGTAAAGATACGCAAGTTAAATTCATTTGACCCCTTGTACCAAAACTCAGCAATATGTTTGTTTTTTATACCATAAAAATCTATCATGTCATTTACCCCTTTGTTAAAGATACCAACAGTTTTACATAAATTTTTGAGGTAAACCTTGAAGGAGTTTCCTTGTGGGTCTGTAATCAGACACTCACCTGGTTCAATTTTACAAATCCAGTACTTGTAAAATTTTGCATTTAAATAGATACGACCCTAAAGAAAAACAAAACAAAAATATGGAAGAACATAAGTTATAAATACCATGGAATTTTGTTATTTAAATTTATTTAACATAAAATAAGTTAACCTTATTTGGGTAGACGTCAGATCGGAAGTGTGTTGGTGGGTTTTCCTGATCAGCGTCGTTAAAAATGTCCATTATATGTCTTCAACAGGAAGAAAGACAAGTAAATTGAAGGGTTCAATTCCACAATCGAATATAAACCCTAAACCGTAGACATAAAAATAGCCTTTGACAAAAATAATATATGCAATGTATGAAATGATTATTAAGGATACATGCAATGAAGAACAGTGCTTTTTTATTTTGTATTACAGAATACAGACGAAGAACACTGTAATGGACGAATTTAACAGGTAAAGTTTTGGTTTTTATATTAAGTCAAGTATCATAAACATTAAGCCCTAAAAGAAATAATCTTTTGCCTAAACAACGATAATGAAGATGATGAAGTTAACTAACCAAGGATTTCGAAGTTTTTCAGATGACTGTGGCAAGAAGATGATTCTTCAGAGAAGATGATTCTTCGGAGAAGATGAAACTGGGTTGTTGTGTTGTATTTGTTTAGGGTTGAGAGAATGATGAAATGATGGCACTTTCTGTGTGTATTGCCCAGTTTCTGCCTCGTCGGAATTGGAGAAAATTAAAGTGACTGATGTTGGCTGATTGTGTTGAATGGATTTTAGGGTTTACGGATACGCAATAGGAAGAATATGAAAAGGTTGATTTTTTGATATTTTGAATTTGGAGTTTTGTTAAATGAAATAAATAAAAACTTGAATTTACAGTAGTTGTAATTATTATCGTTGGATGCTGCGTTGGGCTTTTGTATTGTTAAATGCATTATGCATAGGTGTATGTATGGAAAGCAAGTGAAGGGGCAAATCGGTTGATGAGTCATGACAGTCATGAGTACTGATTGTCTCGTTTTACGTTCCATTATCTCTCGTTTTACGTTTCATAAATAAGCCATTTTTTTATTTTTATCAACTTTTTCGTTGAAATTGCATACAACAAATTTTTAATATAAATTATATAATATATAACATATAGTATTCAAATACCAATTGATAATATGTTTAACAGATGATGTTAAATATTAAATTAAATTACAGATAATAATGTAAGGTCTAAAAAATCCTGGAAACTTATTACTGATTGTTAAAACAAGATACATTAACTGTTTATGAATTACTAACTGAAGTGTGTTATTGTACCTGTATGAGAGGTAGAAATTTTAATTTTGATTGTATTAGTATGATGTTATATTATTTTAGTTGTGTATGTATGTTTAATATTGGAAGTTTGGAAGTAATTGATTGCTGATTATATATACACTTTTTTTTTATAAGTACACCTTGTTTATTTATTTTTAAATTTATAAAATATTGTAGTTATTTTTATTTTGTAATTTTACACCTCTAATTTTTAATTTGCTATTTACTTTTTTTTTTTTTCACACAGACTTATTTTTTTGTGTTTTTACATGCTACCAAAATAGGTGTGTTAAAGGAAAGGTAAGAGGGTGCATGTAAAAATTGAAAAAAAGAGGAAAGATGTATGGAAAAAAAGTACTAAATTAAATATTGTACATGTTTAAGTATAAATTAAAAACAAAAAAATATAAAACATTTTTGAAATTTAATTAATTTTTTGAAAAAGGAGGTGTACTTATAAACAAAAGGTGGTGTATATGATGAACCTAATCCCAAAATTGCGGTTTTTTGGTAAAATGATACTGACAAAATTTAAGTCAGAAATATAACCATGCATGGGAGTAATAATAAAATAAATGATATAAAAAATTCAAAAAATTATTAAATATAAATTAAATTTAATAATTAACAAACCTTTGTTATTGTCGACCTGTATTGTTGTTTCGTGTCACCTGCAAAGAGAAGCAATGTGTGACTAGGGTTTGAGTCACATTAATATCGACTATCCATGGTTGAATTTCAGGTTGCATAATTTGGACAATATCGATGCTGAGAAAATGAAAACTGTAATTTAGTAGTACAAAATAGAAATAGTATTAAAATAATAATACATTGGGATTTATGTGTATGTAAACTTTACCCGATATTTGTTGAAGTGTTGTTGGTTTCTTTTTTCAACTGAGGATAACATATTTCCTCCTTAGCAAAATTATAAATACGCATATCAAAAGTGTTAGTGTTATTGTAGTAGAAGTCAACTATGTGT